CCCCCATTTATGGTGAATCATCATCGTTTTTCTTTGTAATTAAGAGAGTAAGTTATTATTTTAAACAAGGCTAGCAACTAAGTCGAAGTCATGTTTGTTCACTTGTTCGAAGAAGTGTGGTGCTTTGATGGTTTGTTTAACTCTCGGTTTTGGCAACGTCCACTTAGCCGCCCGCCCTCCAATCCATGTCAGCAGCCCCAAGCCTGTGCGGCATGTCTTCTCCCGTCTTTAGAGAAATCTCGGGGAGCCACAATAAGTCGAGATCTTTCATATTTTGTTCCACTTTTTTCCCGTTTGATATTAATGTTGCTGACTTTCAGTCCAATTTTTTTCTCAAAATTTTTGTAGACCGCCTAGTTTCAACGAAGTATCCTAACAAAATTCTTTTATATATTATTTTGATTAAATAGGTGGGTTTTGTTAAAACTCACAAATAACAAAATACAAACCACACATATAAGTAGATTCGAATATTCGTAATGGAATCTTCACAGAAGAACAATTAAAAGATTGTAATCCTAAAACGTTTTTTCTCATGACGATGATAATGATTGACCCTAAACCCAGAGGAGGCAAACTGAATATTTCTCCCCTTCGGTGTCAAAAGGGGCAGAGACACCCAAAATGAAGAGTGAGTGCTGGAATTCCCATTTCCATTACAAAAAAATGGTTTTAATGAGTTAACTTTTCATTTCTAAAGTAACGAAAGATTTCCCGTTCAGAATGCCTTAGCATAATGTTTAGGTCCAGCTTAATTTCACTTTGTCCCTCAGTTAATTGTTCAGAGGTCGTCAATTTGCTTCACTTGTTTTTTTTATTCGGCCCTCTGTAGTGGGTGCTATTCTTCTGCGGTAATGAAACGAAGCAATAAAGCGACGATGCCAAGATTATTTTCGTCCTTTGAAGAGAGTTTATTTCCCAACATTACCGACAGGGCGGTCTCTGAAGACGTAATAAGGTGTGTCAGGGTGAAAGAAGGTGTATTACCGCCTGTACGGACGAGTGAGAAGACCGCAGATAAAAGTAAATCCTTTGACAAAACGGTTTGCAATTAACAGAATTGTAAAATATCCCATTCTTCAAAAAATTAACTTTTCGAGTCATGTTTTAAACTACTCTCCCACATTTTGCAAAAAAAATAGAAAGGCCTTAAGCCAGGCTTGCTTAGGATTATTTTGGAGCCGACTTAATACCTTGAGTCGTCTGTCAATCAAAATTTCCTAAAAAAATCTGAAAGCAGACGGTGAACCAAAAAACGCATATTCTGTCGAAAATATGCAGTCTGTAAAGTCTTGTCAATTTTTTTGTCATAGTCACTCTTCTCTTGGCTGGCAATGACAGCAACAGTTGTCTCCATGATTCGCATAAAAATGGAATGCCAAAAAAATAGGATGAAAGCACAGCTCTCATCAATCTTGACACCTCCTTGACCGACGTGTTCATGCTGAAGTTGGTAATTTTACGCATTTTCTACCTGCAAAGTGCGGTGGCTTTACAGCTGCACTAAGAGGTAACTTATGTGCACCATAAATTTAGTGACTTTAAGAAGACGACTGATCCTTGTGGAATGAAGGTCACCACGCCTCGAATGTAATCTTTGAGGTCAAATCGTCTCTCTAGGCTGATCTGTTTTTATAACAGCCAGTTTTTTGGCGTCCCGTACTCACTGATTATTTTTCGATGTAGAAAGGGGTTGAGTACGTCCTCAAGCCTTAAAAATATCGCCCTATTTTGATTTCCGGCAGGACTCAGTTCTGGGTTTATTTCCTCAACAATCCAGAAAGTATCGGAAACCGCAATCTGGTTCGGTTTTCCTGATTGGCCAATGATGCACCCAGTGGGAATTTCAGTGTTCTAGTAATCACATCGAGGCGAAGGTCACTCAAAATGCGGCATCTTCGTGCCTCCGATTGTCAGCCTGCAGTCACGGCCGCACACAATGTAGCCTGCAGTTTAAGCATTCAGGTCACTGATACAGACGTCTCCAAAGAAGTCTTTTTCTCATGGATCACTCTGGATGGGACCTCGACTAGTTTGTGACAATGAGGGAGGCATTTAAGCTAGACCAAAACTTTACTGAGGCCGAACTATCATCTCATGCTAAGGCAGCCTACTTCTCCCTGTCATCGGTGCAGGACTGCCAACTTCGAAGGTATTCTTTTGGAATCCAAAAAGACGGAAATTATTCAGAAGGAATTCTAGATTGTCAGGCAGGTGTTGCCGTGACCTTTACTTAGTGCAGTGGGTAGTG